CAAAACACCAATCTTCCAGAGCCCCTGCCTGAATGGAGCTGCAGAATAGGTTTTGTAAAGCCTTCAGGGGCCTTTCGATGGATCCACCCTCCAGTGAGTCGTTCTTTAGGAAACCTCTGGACACTTTCGGCTTGCGATGGTGCTACGGTTTTCAAACTGTGTAGGGACTCTTCGATGGCCCTGGACCGATTAGAATCTTTAGGGACATTGCGACACCTAAGGTTTGTATTCCTGCTGAGTCTGTGAATTACTTGTATCCAGCCTTCGGGTCAAGCACAGGCTAAATTCCCATACCGGGTGTACCGACATCCAAACCCAAACTGAAGCCGCACATCTGATGACTGAACCTTGAGATGGGTTTAGTAAAGCCACAGTACACAAATCGATGCACAAACAGGATGTGATCATGCCTTGCTGCGTGGAAAGTGCGTTCTGAACCTGATGATGTGCAGCTTCTTTGTTGTCATACCCCCACCCCCTTAGACGGGGGGGATGCTCATATTGTAATTTGGAATTTGGGCCCCTCTAATTTGCGGCACTCCTCGGACGCCACTTATGCAAATTGTAAAATAAAAGCGGTTTACAATTATGCGCCTCCTCTACCATTTTACATTTTTAAGAGGGCGGGGGTGTTGTCATATCGTTCGTGAGCTGGGGGTATTGAGGTTTACCAGGAAAGTTTTTTTTAGTACGTCTTCGTCTTTTGATACCCCGGTTCTGCATAGGAAGCGATGATGTTGTTGGAACGACACGCCTCAACCGAAAAGAAACTGTGCTTTCGTATCAACGGCATCATGTTGGAAGTCGGTGAGAATGAGAATGGTTTAAACCCAACTTGTTCAACTTACAAGGGCCAAACACCATGAGTTGCTTCGTCAGTTCTACCAATACATACATTGAGTATGCTTCATGCAACTGTCATGCAACAAATTGCTCAGCATGTTCTTAGCACACAGGCGACTCTGAAGAACACTGTTGGCACGGTGACAGCATCTTGCATTGCTTCATCTGTTTGCTTGTACGCCGTTCGGGAAGCGAGATTGGAACAGCTGAACACATGATTGCTGTCTATCTATTTCAACAGCTTTTTCGTCCCCCGTCCATGGCTGAGGTGAACAACTGACCTTGCATTGTGACGTTCTGAAGCGCCAGCCACACAACAGAAAGCTTTTCTGACCATCTAACCAAAGGCAAGTTTTAATACTTCATAGCAATCCAACAGTCGAATCATGTTCCCCAAGTCAGACAAATCATGTCAATATATCGAAATACCTTGACTGGTGCAGCATTTCGCTACAGCATGTGATATGATATAGAGGCCGAGTTTGTAGAAGAACCGAATATCTGAACAATGAAACTTTTTCAAATGAATTGCGGGATGTTAAGAGGGATGCAAAATTCTATCATGCAGACAACTCAGTTCAACTTCGTTGCCTTTCCCGTACCGCAACAACCGCCTGTTACACAATCTTGTGTACTGTATCACTGCGCACAGACTATGATCTTTCGAAGCTGACAATTTGATCAGCCAGAAAATCGTTGAACTTGCTCAAAGTTGCCAAACCAATGAAACTAGCATGGCAGCGTGTTCTAACGTAAGAAAATAGTGTAGGCAAGGGTGCGAAAGTTTAATCGGTACACGTAAGGGTCGAAGCCTTTGTTGTTCGTATTTGGATGTCGCGTACTGAGAACAATAGCTGGAATGGGCGGTGAATAAACGTAATTCAGTATGTTCGCTTCCTGCTTAGGTCCTTAATTGCCCGCAGTTCTGCATGACGGATCGGTAGGGAGGTAAGCCGGCAGGTCGGCGTTCAAATCCTTTGATATTTGGGCTCCCACCCCCTTCTCCCTGCAGTGTCACCATGTAACAACTCCACGTACACAACGCTTCCGCTTCGTTTCCTCGAGGCGTATTCGAGGGTTCATGATGGTTCTGGCTTCACAAGGACGAAAAAGGTAGATCAATGAGCGGGGGGTGGGAGCATGCACACATGTATATGTATATGTATATATATATATATATATGAGCATATATACATACACACACACACACACACACAAGCATCTTGGTGGAATCGCGCCGGTTTCCGGGACGCCTGTCCCCGAAATTGGGTTCCGCCATTCCCTGGCCTTGGGTGTGGTCCGGCCGCTCCGTTCGCACTTGTTTTCTGCCGTGGGCATCCCTTTCTGCACCCGCCCACACTTGCTGAAGTCGTTGGCCATGTCACGCTACTCCTTTGGCAGTGCGGCTCTGACCTTGGTTTCCGGGACCCACAAACGCTTGTGGGCGGAACACTACCTTGCGTTGTGGCGCTGCCTGTGGCGGCATCGGAAGGGGGAGGCATATCGGCACTGTTACGCAGTCCTTGGGCCGGCCGGGGCGCCGCCGCCCCCACTTGCTTTGGCTTTGGCAAACGGTTTTGCTTCGCCAGATTTCCATGCGGGGCCCGGCTACGTTGCTGTGTTTGTTAACGGTGCACTGGTCTGAGAATCCTCGCCAGGCCTTGCTCGGGCAGGTACAAGGTGATATCCAGCATGTGTCTCAGTACGTTGAGGCAGCCGTTGCACTTTTGGGGACTGCCTCCCCCCTGGCATCCCTCATCGATGCTGTCCAGGAGGACTCGGGATGGTGGGTCCGCCAGGTCAAGGCTGCCTGCCGGCAGGCGCAGGCCGATTTGGATCAGTGGAATTCCAGGGAGGGGCCTCCCGACAGTCCGTTGGCGCCCCATTGTGGGGCTCCCTACGATTGCTTATGGTGTGGTGCTTCTTTCCGTCTTCGCAAACATTTGTGCGTTCACCTTGCCCGTACTCATCAGATCTTCTCTCCTGCCCGCCACCTGGCTCATGGGGACACGTGCGTCAACTGCTTGCGGTGTTTTCGTACGGTGGCTCGCCATCAGCAGCACCTTCGGACCACGCCCACTTGCTTGTGGAGGACCTGTCTTTTGGTGCCCTGCTTGTCGGTGGAAGAGATCAAGATCGAGGAGGGCTCTGCCACCAAGCGAGCTCGAGGCATTAAGTCTGGGGTTTGGACTTCCTTCCAGGCTACTCAGCCCACCCTCCAAGCATCTGGTCCCCGAGCTCTCGCTGCAAGTGAGCGTCTGGATTTGCTTGGCGAAGAAGCAGACCTCGGACTTATGTCGCGCCTGTTCTACCCTGATCCGCACTTCCTCTCTTTGATCGAGCTCTTTCTTGCGAGCCGATCGACGGAGGGGCCCAGAAGCGGCACGGTCTCCTTTTGGGATCGTCGCCCTGCCGGCCGGTCGCTTTAGTTTCACTTGAATTTATTGCATGGGACGCGCCGCTCGACGGCTCTGAAGTCCGCCAAACAAGATATATGAGCATATATACATACACACACACACACACACACTATGACATACATAGATGGAAGAGGCTGAAACGGATGCATCCCATGCATGCATGGATGCATAAATGAGATGCTTTGGCTTGGCCGACTAGCGCAAAGATTTTGGGCCGTCGTGCAGATTGATGACGATCACACTTGAGACTTCCATGTCAAGCAGACTTTTGCGGCGCACTTCGTAAGGCTCGGACAACCTCCATGCCTCAGCCGAGAATCGCGGACAGCACATCAGGACGGGCGGAACGAGATTAGAACCGGCTGTCCCGAACGAGTCATTTGCTTGCGCGCAGCGTGCATAGCTGTGGCCGCTGGTCCCTTACCGCTTTGGGACGACAGAGCAACTGAGCATCGCACTCTTGGCACGACGAACTCGTGCCCGAGCAGCAGCCTGAGGCAGAAGCTCCAGTACTCCAGTGACTGCAGATGGTTCTTCGTTCTTCTTGGAGCGCGAAAGGCTCCGACCTCTCCAGGCAAGTCGCCCATCAAGCCTGCACCAGAGGAACGCTGCCGGTGGGACGCGCGCTTGTCGAAGTCCAGAGTCCGATGCTCTCTGTTCATGCCATTGGTGCAGAGTGGGGGTGGTGGGGTTGCTCTACACATGCCTGTGCTCGAAGTTGTTCTGTGAACCATTTATTCTCGATCTTGCTTTGAGCAGTCGGTTCTAGCGAAATCTTGCAGATCTGTCTCGGACAGAACTGCAGACTTCTTGTCCTTGCAATGGGTGTCGGCAAAAAAGGAAACAAGATCCTGGCCGAGCCACCACCTCGCCGTAATGCGCTTACACTCAAGGGGTATGAGGGGTATGAGTGAGTCTCGGGTACAAATTGACCTTTACCCTTGTTCTGTCGTACGAGCAAGCACTGCTTCTGCCAATATGCTGCTGCCGTCCCGCTGGATCAGACCGACCGTCACCTCTTTGCCTTGTCCTCGGCCAGTGAAGCAACGGCGCCAGTCATGTCATGGCCACATCGTGGTTGTGCCACTGGCATGAGCATCTCGGCCCTGCCTTGCCCTTCAAGACGGCCGACAACAATCCAAAAAGACCTGGGCCGCGTGAAGCCGAGATGCATTCGAGTCCGTTTGATAGTGTCATATGCCTGCATTGGTGCAACGTGGCTTCTTTCGGAAAGACCCAAGCTCGTCGGGTCTTGCGGTAAGTTTGCAGTACAAGATGGCCAGTCACTTTGTCACTGGCGACCCAGTGACTGCGCCCAGGTCTGTCGGCCCTTCGAAGTCTCTGACCGGGGGGGGGGTCAAGACATTCGCTCAATCGTCTAATGGTTTTGGCTTCATTGCTCCAGCAAAAAAATGACGGCTGCTTTCCATGCCACTCGCTCTCATCCCAGGCAGAGGAAAATCACGTCGAGAAATCTTTTAAGGAAATGAATTGCAGTGCAAGTGGCGTTTCACGTGTGGCAGCATCTGAGCTGCCTTACCTTCAGCCGTAAGGAATGCCTCAGAATCTCACAAACCAGTGCTGCCTGGAGGTTTCATCTCTGTCACCTTGTCTTTGTACGAGTATTGCACATGCCGAGCAGGATCTTATCACAGGGCTGTACCTCAGGCATTAGTCCAGACATAACGCATTTTCTCCGAAGGGTCGGCCGTCTATTTGGTCATACATGGTGCCTTTTCATTGCACAGGCGCCGTCCAGCCGCTTGTAAAACTCTTGCAAAGCTGCAGCACTGTGATCACAGGTCCGACGACTAATGGCAGCTGAGGCGCAACTGCACCAAGTGCCATCTGAAACTCCAGGAACCTGGTATGCACCGTGTGCTGGTACGCACAGCTAGCTCGTGGAATCTAGACCCCTGGGGCTGACTGTGGCCTGTAGGCACAGCCTAGACTCCCAAGCCACCGAAGCCGCAAGGGGTCCGTCTCAGAGCTCTGCATGCCACCATTATATTGGCCAAGGAACGACATCTCTTGAAATCGAGAGGAACCAGTCTCGTCAGGCTGACACATCATGCCTGAGTTGTCTGAGTTGTTTTTATGGTTTGCAGAGGCTCTACATCTCAGGAAGCGTAGATTTTCCAGGTCACCCATCCGAAAAGCCAGCGCTGACTGTCGAGCTTGAAAGCCTGCAAAGAAGCGACGAAAGCCCTCGATTGGACTGTCATACGAAGATGATCGCAGATGTAGATCTAGCTCACTGGAGTCACGCGCCGAACCGGCAGTCACTTCATGCTACGGGCCCATACTCCTTGACATGGAGTCTGCCTAGTGCCTTATAAGTTCCACAAGACTGCAAGTGACCAAGGCTCTAGGGCGATGCAACAGGCTGATGAGCCGGAATCGAACATATTAAAGGATACCGGGTGGCTTTGACAGCGATGGCGCATCTAGGCTTGAAATGCCCGCTAATGGGCATAATGTATAACAGTATAACAAGACTCCGAACTTGTGCATGATACACCACCGCCTCTCGCGAAGATTTCGCTTACTCGGAAGCCCTGGCAACGCGGAGCACCTGCCTGTGGCATGCACGTCGGCCACCTCCTTGCAAGTACTCCAGGCATGATCACAGACAGCTCCCAACCAAAGCGACGGGGACGGGGAGGCTTTTGTAAGGGCAGGATGCTGCTGCACTCTGGATCTGGGGACGCCGCCAGAAGAGACTGGAACTCTCCGAGTGCCTCGCATTGTGAATCTTTGGACTCAAGGAGGGTTAACATGGGCAACAATGCTGCCTCAACTCAAGAGCGCGGTGGCAATCAACAACAGGCTTGAATGCCACGCTCGTACCAGCTATCAGTCACTCACCTGACCCTCCTACCCCAAGAACTGCAATTGGGATGTAGGAGTATGATAATAGGGATCCTACCGTAGTTTTGAAGCCTTTACAGAAAGGCTTTTCTTACGAGTGGTCAACATCGGCCCCGACCTGCGTCTCTGTCCACAGTAACCTTTGCAAAGAGTTGCCCGTAACGTCTGATCACGCCGAACCTTCCGCCTCCGTTGCAAGAAACTGACACTGACCCAATCTCGTCAACTGTTGAAGCCTCTTGCTGAGCTCTTGCTGCTTCATCACCCAAAACCCTGCAAAGAGCGATGTATGACAAGGCACCATGAACTTCGGCTTGCCCGGGGGCGTCTTTGACCCATAGAACCGCTTGTACACGGCGCCCTCAAGGACAAAGATTTTCTGCTTTGGGCAAACGAGAGTTGGTTCCTTCCGGGATTGCAGTCCGATGGACTCGATCCCGTGCTCGCTTTGCTGTTTAGGACCGGTCCCGAACGATTGCGCTACTGCTCTGCATCGTGACCAAAGCACTGAGTGCTACGTCTGCGAATCTGCAACGTAGAAACCCTGCTGCCTGCTACCTTAGCTCCTGGCCAGCATGTCCACGTGCTTCTTGTACAGGTCATCCACCGCCTTCATATTTACGACAGGCTTGACGACAAGTATGTGTGTGAAATCTCAGCCGTTCTGTTTTGGCCGAAGAAGTGACGACGGCATAGCGGAGCTCCGAGGCTTCTCTTCACGGGCAGACCTTCATGCCCACTCTCAACTGGACTCCAGGCTTGCAGTCGCCCGGGACAGGAGGACCAGGTGCGAATATCCATGAAGTGGACACGCAACTATACAGTTTTTCCTAATGTCATGTGTTTTTCGAACTCACTCGGCATCTGAAACTATGGGTTTGCGCTCCCCAAATACCCTGCATTCCCTTGCGACGCATAAGGCAGTGCTTTATGCAGTCCGGTCCCTGTGAGTGGTTCATCATGTGTGACAGGAGTTGAATGCCTTGCCGTTTGGTTAATCACACAATGCGCACCTGTCTCTGCAGACTCTCTAGGTGTGTACATGTTATCCAGATCCACAAGTTTCAAGGTCAACACGACATAACCCGACCCTCCCCCATGCCTCCACCCACAGCGCTTCCAGGAAGTCGGTCACTTCCCTTTCCATCTTCCTGCGGTTGACAGCGACGTGACTAGGAAAAGCGACATTCATCCTCCATGGAACTTTCGTGCCAAGTGCGCTGCACTGCAGCAGGCGCTCAAAAACCTGCCCTTGCCCTGATTGTTCACCTCTGCTTGTGTGCAACATCGCAGGGGTTGGCCTTTCTGCCCCATCTGCGTGCTTGTAACTCAAACAGTGCTGCGGCTTTACCGTCTGCATTCCTCAAAACTTCCACAGCTCTGCTGGGAAATGCACGCGTGCCTGCCCTCTGTTTCCAATGTCTGGAGCAAGAGCGCAATGGCCTGAAGACACTTCGAATTGCTCGGCAGCAAGATTGGATCTACCTGCATAGAGCTTTCCGTAGACTTGCATCCCAGGTGACAGTGCCTATGGTCGAGTATTAACGAGTCACATGCGAGATGCCGCCCACGCGCCAGCGACTCCCAAAGGCACGGGACGGGGGACGGGCCTCGGCCATGGAAGTCGCAGCCTGGGCCGATCCACCGGCTTCCGCATGCTTCCGCAGGCTTCCACTTCGCCCCTACCCCTCAGTCCTTTCAAAGCTGCAGGACTTAAGCTTTGGACTATCGGAGTGCAGCTCAAACATCTCAAACAAATATGGCAAACAACACCATCATGATCACTTCGGGTCTCGCAGTCTGAGTACACAGCTCCAGACTTGAAAAAGTGATGGTTCGCCACACCTGGCATGGTCCCCACGTAAGGACAACTGTTTCCAAAATGGGCAACTTCGGAATAGCTTATCTTTGGGATTAGCAGTGAGAAGAAAAAGGAATACGAAGCAGTGCAGTGGGAGAAACTGCACCTGAACTGAAGCGCACGGCCAATGCAGAAGCTGGTAGGATCCGTACGCAGAAGGAACTCCAGAAACTCGTAGCGCACGAGGGTCTTGTCATTGACGATTGCCATCGTCCTCAGTTTTGGACAACAGATTGACGGGCGCACGTTTTCTTGTGCGTACTTTTAGGAACTGAATGGATGCTGAATGACAAGGACGAGCGTTGGCCACGCCAAAGAGATACACAGCGTGGACGCTCCCGCACGACGAGCGGCATACACAGTGCTGACTGGTTCAAAAAAACTTGAAATGTTTATTCCACAGATTCGTCGAATAAGACTGACTTCATAGCTGCGAAATGACTGCGGCACATTCCCCAGGCCTGCAACCCATGCTCGCTGATAGTCAGTGAGCACTCATGGTGGCAGCTTCGTAGGTTGACAGTTCAATGAAGACATGATGCCTGTTTCAACGAAGAAGCCTTGGTCGCGTGTTGGCCTTGATTGTTCACAGCCTTTTCACTCTGGAACCGTCAGGTTTGCTTCGTGCGACTGTTCACATGAGCCGCATGATCGATGTGCGAGAAGTGAGTTGCTTGTTTCCTCAGCGAAAATTAGCCTGAACTGCGTCGATGTCATGTTCGGAAGATGCAGCCCGATGTCTTACCAAGGATCACACCACCTTCTCGCGTTCGGACTTGGGTTGTCAGCAAATGCTCAGAAGTGTGGAGTTCCCACAAGTCGCCATTCGCTAGCGGTCGCTGGCCCGCTTGACAGAGTACTTTGTAACCTGTGGACTTTCCTTCTGTGCCGTCTGGGATGCTGGGTGCTTTGCGATGCTTCTGCTTCGCTCGACGTACCTGCTGGAGGCTGCTGCAAACGTATCTTTTCGGGATACGTGGTACATAACATCCAACAAGGCCTTTGCACTTGAAGACTTGTGCCTGCCTCAAGCATGAAACTTCCGCAAGCCTCCGGCTTTCGATGAGCTGTGCAACGAGCCCGGCGACAGAAAACAAACCCCAATTGTTTTCGCATCTTGGCAACTCAGAAAGTCTTTCAGGCACGAGCACGGGAAACAGGCACGTGAAATTCCTTGCATCCTATGTACGCTCGACGGCGAGCAACAATGCCGTCCGCTGCCGCGCTGGCCAGCTCTTGCACAAGAGTTATTGTACTCTCCAGCTTTCGCCGGGTGAACAACTGGTCTAGAGATTGTTGCCACATTGATTTCTAAAGATTCCGCCATCGTGCTGACTTTCGGATTCGACGTTTGGTGTGTTCTTCCGGCTGCGTGCGATGGTCTTGGTCTTGCAACAACTCCGTCTGGTTCATGAAAGCTTACGACAGCAGAATAGGAGGCGATGACCTGGTGTTTGTAGTTGCACCTTCATCTTTCTCGGCAGTTCGGAAAGCCGATCAGCTCATAAGTACTGGCCGTTGCTGATATCAACATGTGCCTTGGCCTTGCACAGAGGTATGCCTGGCTCTTCAGATGAAAAGTACACTCTGACAGTGGATGCTGGCCATGAAATGCCCGAAAGACACTTTCAACTTATGTTGCTCTGTCAGCAGACCTTGAAAGTGGGAAGATGGTGTGCTGCGCCAGGGCACTTCTTCATTTCAGCGGGTGTGACCTTGGCCGCAATGAAGAACCGATCTATGTCTGCCACCTGTGGACCGTCGCTTGGGGCTTCAGTTTGGTGAGCCGTACGTGGTGGCAACGCTGGTGTACTTGGGAGGATCTGCTTGACCGTGCAGTCGCAGCAGACAGCAAGAAGGCGTGAGAGTACTCGCAAACTTGGGACATCCTCTTACTTACTGCACAGTTCAAATTTATTGACAATTGCTGGTTAAGGCAGCAGGATGCAGTGGGGCATTGGGAACAGCTTCCTGCAAGATTCAGGCAGCACCTTGGTCGTGGTGCCATCAAGAATTCCACACCCGGACATCAGCTCACCCGCCTCGTCACGTGCAGAGCCAGGACCAATCAACGGCATCGTGCCGAGTTCTCACACCCAGCAGCAAAATTCCGGTCAGATCCTGCCTGTAGTTGGCTGATGCCGAAACCAATCTCCCCAGACCTCATCGAATTTACGATCTTTGCGCCGTGATGTGCCAGGACGATTGAGATTTATCGAAGGTCGAAAAGTCTAGAGAAAGTCTAAAAAGGATCTCGAAGAGTCGATATCCGAGTGCCTAGCCGCAAGGCCGCAAGGCCGCAAGGCACTAAGCTTCAGAGAGGCAGATGTTAGAAGAGCCTGGGGTTCATTCTTAAACAGGGACAAGTCAACCGCCAAGCTGCACAGCGAATCTCAAACTCCACCCGAGAAATCTCTCTGATTTGAATGTCTGAGCCTGTGCATGGGACCCTGCAGCCTCAAGGCCTGACCAAATCAAATCCAGAAACCGCCCTAACGAACAAACAACCGAACAAAACTCAAGCTGAACCACAGACAGAGCCGCCCGAATCCGGACCAAGACTGTCTTGCAAGAAGCTGCCGCGACTGCTCAACATCACATCAACATCTTTCTAATTGCCGGGAGGGCACGCATCAAGGGACGAGACTCTGCGGTAGAGGCACATCCTCAGTCGACAAAGTCCATTCATCAGACCCCAGCGCAAGCGGCGATGTGATCACCGGCCATGTATAGGCAGGCAAATCGATGCAGCCGACAGTCTTCAAACGAAGATGCTCTGAGGCCTTCACAGCCAACCATAGTGAGGCTCCATAGCCTCTCACACACCACATGGACTGGGTTCCGAGAATGGCTTTGCTTCATCGACGACTTGAGGCAACAGTGTCAATGGCACAACACATTTTCAGCATCCAGTGCATGGAAGGACATTGACCACTGCACTTTCAAACCGAGCTTTCTGAACGCAGAGTGGATTGCTGAGTTGTCAGTGTTCATAGAGCTCACATGAGCTGATGAAGCCGGGCAATGCCTGGTTGTCTGCAGTGTTTTGTTCGCTCTGGTCTTCATCGTTGACTAATGACGGAGTCGGACATGGTCTGCCAAACACTTGTGCACGCCTTCTTGATATCCTCGACTTCAGACTCTGGAACCTGGCGGTTTGCAAGAGCAAAGACGGCCATAAAAATATCCTGCTACAGAAACGCCTGGGCTGTCCTAGAGCTGGCAACACGAGCACGGAAATCTCGTCAGCCTGCGAACCGCTGCATGCTAAAAGACTGACCGAGCTTCCCACAACGTGTCCCAGTCGGCACCGAAGCCAGTCTGTGCGAAGTGCTTCCCTGTCCGTGGGTTTCAAGCTCTGAGTGTGGTTTGTGCTGCTTGAAGCTCTGATGGAGACAAGTTCCTGAACATCAGATATCTTTCACAAAACTACGTATGAAGAGACGCATCAACTGCTGAATTGAAGGGAAGCTTCTGGGCACGATGAGTCTGTTTCCAGAGAACATGCCGGAAAGTACCCGACCAGCCGTTACTGCCCGTTTTGAAGGGCACACTGGTGCAGCAACGTTACAGGAGCCAAAAGCCGGCCTGCGCAAAGACCTGAGCACTTGCAACAGCAACAGTGCTCTCGCTCACTGACAGGACCGTGCCGACACTTGCTTGGGATCTTTCGGTCCGTTTGTAAGACGCCTTAGACCTGCTAAATCATTGCATGCGGCTCCCTCACGGCTAATCATCGATGGCAAACGGCAAAGACTCCTTCTTGAAGGTGCTCCAGAATGGTGGCGAACGCTTGGCCTGAGATCGGAGCATGCTGCTTTGTGTTACACAAGGAACGCTCCAGCTTCAAGAAGCCTTGCTTGCTGGTGCTCGGGCACTGATACTTGGCAATGTAAACTTGTGCCCTGAAACAGTCTGTGATCTGTCATTTGCTGAAGGTTGCGTGCTGCGGATGTGCCTTGGCCTTGAACTCCGCTTCTGTGACGCGTGGGAGCAGCACTGCATCGCCATCCGCTGGGCCATCAGTGACCACCTGCCAGGCTCTCCAGCTCTCATAGCAGTACGCACAGCTGCTGCAACATGTTTGAGGGAATGACCCCTCGGCATGCTCGGCACGCAGAAGTTGATGTCACATCATCGGGGGCCGTCCTCAGGGTGGATCTAGTGGCAGCGGCTGGTGCAAGTGTTGCTTCTGGGGCAATCAGAACCTGCCTCCTCTCGACCACACTCGCTTCGGACATGCTGGCGATGAAAACTGGCCGACCGGAGCGTGGCGAGCTCTCTGAACCTTTGCCATACACGTCAGGCACATCTTACAATAATTCTGCGTGCATGCATGCGCATCAGTATGTAACATGTAACGGGTACACACATATACATTCAGTACACATCTCCATATATATCTATATGTATATATATATATATATATATGCACATACACACACACACACACACACATGCACACCTAATCCGCCGAGGCCACAGGCCCAAGCGTCTTGAGGATTACCTCAGGTACCCTCCACCTAATCCTCCTCCCTGCAGTTGGAAAGTTTGGAGACACCCTGTTTTTGCGTTCGTTTGCCACCCCCTTGCCCGGCTTCCCTGTCTTTTGCCTGGTTTGTGGGCCTGCTCCCGTTCTTGGCCCTCCCCCTCCCCGCTCACTCCCCCCTCCACCCTCTCCCCTCCCCCCCTTCCGCCCCTCCCCCCCCCTCCCTCCCCCTCCCCAAAAAAAGGTGTATACGATATCCGCCTCCCTGGCCCTGCCGCTAAAGAGCCGAGGCGGGCGGCGTAGCGTTAAAATTAATGTATATGTTATATAAGCACAGACTCATGCACATGCACAGATGCATGTAGTCTATATGCATACGTCCACATACATACACACGTATACACACATACATACATACATACATACATACATACAAACATACATACACACATACATGCATACATACGTATATATATATATATATATATATATACATATATATATATATATAATATATATATATATATATATATATATATATATATATATATATATATATATATATATATATATGTATATATACACATGTATATGTATACGTATACACATACAGGTGTACATATATGTATATATGCATATCTAAACAAACGTAATTACATGTGTATGTACACTCTCTACATACCGAGTCCATGAACACTTCACTGACACTGCAACGGTCTCGATACCTTGCGAGCGAGAAGTAAGACGTAAGACCCTGGCAGATCACCTGATCGGGATCTGGTACCAGCTCAGGCAATTCCTGCACCCACACATCAGAAACACGAAGACTGCAAACACCAAGAACGCCACTCATCGAAACACGTGTAGCTTGCCCTGCTCGGCGATAGCGCTCCAGAATATGCCTGAATTTATCGCTGTATAATCGGTCTTCCGCCTGGCAAATGCGAAGAGTCAACTCGGCAGGCACCGCCAGCTTGTCCCGAGCTCCTGGAAGAAGCCTGAGAAGAGGTCAAATTGACAAGAGGCAATATAACACGCGCAATTTCACGTGCAAGTCATGTCTAAAATCCCGCTCCACATCAAAGAACTGCACAAGTGTGAGACTCTCGTTCAGAGTCGGGAAGCTGGATCTTGGAGTCAACCTGGAAGATGACTTGGAGCCTGCAGGGATGTGGTGGCTCACAGTGCTTATGCTCACTCGGTGCATGTGACAATGCGCCTGTGTCCAGGAGGCACCATTCGTGCGGCCTTGAAGCAAGGCCTGTGGCCTCGACGACAAGGGTTGGCTCTCGCAGTCTTGGGCTCCCTCTTCCTGCCTGGCTCTGGTCTCAGACGCAGGGCGCGTCGAAAGGAGTCCAAGGCCGTGAAAGCCCAAACGGCCCTGGGAGGATCCTTGGAGGTTTCAAATTCATCGACTCCCAAGCGCCCCTTTGCCTCTTTGCTTCTTTGCTACTGAGCCTCTCCGGGATCGTAGGGCCATTCAATCCTCATTGTCATTGTGAGGTGCTGAGATGACTTGGCCGCTGCGAATCTGCTGAAGTGTCACAGAAAAAGAGTGGCATCAGTTAAAGCCGAGAATCTCTTGCCTGATCCAGCCCTCGCAGGCCCAGCAGGCAGATTTCATCTCCTAGAATTGGGAAAGCCACGGAAAATGTTCCCTTGCGACTTGCACATGGGAATGTCTAAGCCGCGTTGCGAGCACATCACGGCCGTTCAGGTCGTCGGCACCGAAGCCTTGAGCACCCAGCAGTGCCTCAGCGGCCAACTTTCGTCCAAGCTCTGCGAGGCCACAAGCGCATACCTGATGATAATGAAGTTGATGCCCACCCAAACCAGATACGGCTTCATACTTCGCTCAACTCCGACACTGATGGTTCTTCGCCGCAAGAACCCTGGCTTCGTGAATAGTTTGAAAGCACGCAGCGCCGGAACGGCGATGCATTCGACGTGTTGTTGTGTTACTTTTACATACTGTACTGCTGCAACGTCTGATGTCAAACCGCCCGAAATGCCTTCGCATGCACTCTACGTCGATGTGATCCGTTGCTCTGGTCCCTGAAAGAAACTGCGGACGATGACATGTAATGATAAAGCTCCCATGCACAACGCAGATGCACCCGCAGCAGTGTTCACGCCCCTATCTAGCGCTTCACTAGTACAGACTCACTGACAGCAGAGGAGACGGGCAAAGAAACAGCTGCAGAACAGATCTTAACGTGCTGCAACTGTTGCTCCTGGAAATGTTGTCCAGTTCAGGTATAGATCGAAAGCCTCTGAGAGGAAGATTTGAACGCTGGCTTCCCCATTTGAGAAGAGGCCAGGACTTGCCGTCTATCACGGCGGAGAACCCTCATGGCAAAACGCTTTTGCTTTGGGGGAATGTTGCCTTTGTATACTTTACCGCCTGCCCATGCACAGGCCAAATTCATGTCAAATTTTTCCTCGGCAGTAAGGTACGACTGCAACGACAAGCACTTAAACGAGGCCAACAAGTGTACGCCTCTTGTGGCAGACATTCCGTGTTGCGTCCGTGCGCACTTGACCGCGGCAACACTCTCTCAGCTCGGCGCCTCTGGTCCAGGCTGGACACTGCCGAACACCATTGATCCTCAGGTATGCTGAGGTCTGAACTGAAACCGCAACATATGCCGTCCTCGTTTTCCCTTGCCTTGAACATGACGACAAGCTTCGTTTGTGGTCTGCATCTGGAGGAATAGGGCCCACTTTCTGCAGGGGTGTCAGAAATCCGTCTGCATCCATGGTTGCTGCGTTTCCTGAGTGTCGCAAGCACAACGCGATCTTTTGCCACATTCGTCTAAAGGACTCCGAACTCAACACTTGTTCGACGACATAACTAGATCCTTTACCCTGCTTGCCGCAAAGGAGAACATGCGAACAGGAAGCTTCAACGACAACGGAGTGGTGAGGATCGGGTGATGGTTGCTGAAGATACCGCAAATCTGTGTGCAAGCATCCGTCTGTCTCGTCTAACACAAGTCTGCAAGCATCCCAGGAAGCGAGCAGACCCAGATCAACATCTAACATCTTGCGGAATTTTGCAAAACTACCACAGAATGCAGCCGAGACTCCAACTACATGCAAGCCATACAGGGAATGGTTGTCACGTAGCCCCTCTCCGAGGAGCCCGCAGCTGGCAGAGTCCAGGCAGCAGTAGCTGAGATCGCAATGGTACAAAGTCGCAGACTCCTGCGGGAAAATCTTGCAACATGAGGTCACCATGGTCACCTCGGGATCTCAGCGCTCTTATGGAAGCCACCAAGGCTGACAAAATGCCACCGTGCTGTTGGAAGCAACCAATCCCCTTCTAATTGGATCGTCCGGAAGTCGGTGCCTAACAGCCACAAAGCGATGTCCCGAAAGACAGTCGCAATGGCTTTCGCAGCAAGAGGTCCATCTTGAGCAAGCGGGTTCCAGGCGACATCGACGTCTGCCAGCTGACCGCCTGCGCGCAATGTGTTGTCCAGTGGCAGGTTGAAGCTCTGCTACTTCATCCAGCGCTAAGGGATTGCAGAGGGACCAACAGATTCGACAGCTTTGCGACTGGCGTGTCCTCGGCGAGCGTTCTCCAAGATCCCGTTGAAAAGGGCTGCCATGCCGAAGCCTTTCCAGCCAGGTTCGCTTGTTGGTTGCTTCGCTGATCTGCCATCTCGCAACCCGCAACCGTTAACATACTGCAAAGCCGCCTGCAAGACGGTTTCTTCTCAATGAGAGCCTGCCGAGCTCACGCCATGTCCAAGGGACTCTCGATTCTACCAGCCGTGCGCAACTTACGGGGCTTGGGTCAAAAAGCGGAATGAGCGGACATGAGCCGACTGTGTTGTCAGGACATTGCAACTTGCGCTTCCACCAGGTTAGACTAGCATGAAGCCTTGTCACGTTGCCATGACCGGCGATGAGCTCACCCAGCGCATGTCCATCCTTCAGTTCAGGGCAGCCAAGGCACCATACACCCTTCCAACTCGCAGCAAGTCCTGGATCGCGTTGTTTCGCAAATCCAGTCGCAGAAGTCGAGGGCAGTGCTGAAGTCCTGCCGAAACAGTTCGTTTGGAATCTGAGCCATGGATTCAAAGTTCATCATGAAAACGTCTCCATGAAGCCGCAACGTCTTCGCTGTGGGAAGGGCGGTTTCCTGACCTCCTGCCTTGCTCGTTACGAACCTTGACGACATCTCGCGACTCTGGACCTAGAATCTAGAAAGCCTCGGCAACTCTGACGGTGTGGCATACGGCGCGTACGAGCAGAAGGTAGCGTGGCCGCACGCGTGGCACGCCGCGTGCACGCCTTTTGCCAGGCGGCAGGCCGCCTCGTCGCTCAGCGCATTCGCCTTGGACTCCAGCCCGGCTCCCGGCTCCCGGCTCGCTCCCGGAGTCCCCGGAAGAGTCCCCGGAGTCCGAGCGGCCGAGAGATCCAGACGCCGCAGCTGCTCCAGGGAGCGGTGGCAAAGGGCTCGAGCCAGGTGGCCAATACCTCAAACGAAGAACCCTCAGCCGCCTCGGCCCTCGCACCTGAGCACTTTCGGCACGGCCTACATGTCCCAGCTCATTGTTGGCCAAGTCGATCGCCTCGACCTCCTGAGGACGGGAGCAGGGTTCAGGCACGGGTTCCTGTACGGCCTGATCATCCCGGTCTTCAATATGTCTCTCAATCGTTTCCGACTTCTGGGCGAACGATGAGCGACCAAGGAACCTGAATCGGCAAACTGTTTCGCTTGGTAGAACCAACTACTGAGTTGCGTAACATTCGTGCTGCTAGAGCTTACGAGTTGTCATCACATTCTGTTCACCGTCCTCGTCTGCTCCATGCTTTGAAGCTTAAACGATCTCCGTCGCACACCCGATGAACTGTCGAATCACACGTTCTAAAGAGAGTCACGATGAGTCACGACTATATGTGTCAGGCCTCGTCCAACAGCTCAGAAAGTCGCTTGACTCCCCTGTCACGCATGCGCACCTCGGCACCAGTGCCGGCAAATTGTGAACAGGGGTTTGTGGGTGTGTGGGTGTTCTGCGACTTCCGGCTGCGTCAGATCTGTGAAGGGGCGGAAAGGCCAAGCATTGCCAAGCCGCGTCGTGCAGTCGCCAACGCCGGATTTGGGTCGCTGGGCATAGGTTGCTGTCCCTGCAAAGGGAGGCCAAACGCGGCAAACTGACAGCAGCAGTCCTGCTCAGTTTTTGAGTTTTAGCTCAACGTGTAACGAGAGCTGTTCTTGTAATGCTGAGATTTGTGTTGCACGGGCTGCTGACTGAGCCTTTGCTATGCTCCTGTTCTACTACGGGATTGAACGAACCATGCTATTGGTTTCATGCTACGGAGTGTGCCCACTGACACGTCATTGCTTCAGGGAGTCTACGACTCTAGGAACCGACAAAGGATGACAGTACTGTTGTGATAGTGTCCAGTCGCAGGTTGGTCTTATTTTTCCCAGAAGATCTGTGGTAGCTTGACCGAAGATTGCCTTCTCATCATATCAAGATACCTACTTGTCCAGTATCCTGGGGAACTCAAGGTTAACATTTGGAATTAGAGGACCCAAAAAAGTACTAGGACCAGGAGCATGTTCTTGACGTCTCGTTCATTGCGAAGCACGGTTGCAAATTGCATCGTAGGGGCAAAGCGGGTCTGAAGATCGAATATGCCTCATAGGCCTCTCAAAGTCTGCCCGTGCCTTGTGTCCGTACATTGCTACTACCACCGATCCTGTTCAGTGGTCTGAGCGCTAGATAGCTCTGACAAGTTAAGTGCTAGTTTTACATCTACTTCGGCTCTGAACCACGTCTCGAAGCCCCGGAATCGCATGACTACAACCTGAGCGCTTCTGGCAGCTGCTGCTTCTGATCTCTTGCGAGTTGCGCAAAGACTGCCAGGAGCTGGTCATCTCCAAGTCCCGCAGCGCGCAAGTCGAAGACCTCAGCAGACGTGCCACCGCGACGAGAAGCGCGAGCGCCACTTCTGGGAGATTTTTGCTTCGTCTGCGCAAAAACCAAAACCTCGGTTTCGAAAGTCCGAGAGGGCACGATCTCCTGTTCGAACTCAACCATGTCACATCTCCCGACACGGCATCCTGGATGCGGCTGACAAACTTCGGCAGAAGCTTCCTGCCGCGAGACTCAAGGTGCAGGATGTTCGAGCAGCAGTCAGGAGAGGCAATGAGGTCGCGAGTGAACACGAGGGCCGATCTGTGTCACACAAGACTTCGAGAAATAGTACTGTTGCACGTCGGAGCGAACGTGCCTCTTGCATGCAGCGCAAGTCGGCCAGCTGAACGATAAATGGACGATACCATGAGGGGAGACTGCTAAGCATAAATGCGGATAGAACCTTAAACTGAATCGCATTTACAGCTGATGTGGAGATTCAACTCGTCAACACTCGTTAACAATGGCATCCCGCCAGGAGTTATCCCATCACGCATCCGCGATCGCAGCATCTGTTCGCGGGGTCTGAGCACACGGTGCCTGGAAATGCATGCCTGCTCATAGACGGAAAGCTCACCTGCCACGGCCGGCAGATCCGCAGCTGCTTTCAAGCATAGGACCCACCAAGCTTCATCGACGGAGCTCATCTCTAGCACTCGATGGCGTGAAGAGTGCTTGACTCAGATGTCTGGACTCTGGTTACATGTGAAGGCATCCTTCTTTAGCTGAAAGATGCTGTGCCCCGTCAGCCCAACACGTTGGCCCGAGCGTCGCTGCGGCAGCCCGTACTCCGAAGTCTCCGAGCGTGGCAGCGAAGGCGACGGCCTCGGTGTCGCACTGCGAGAGACTTCGTAGGAAGTGTGCAGATCAGGCGTGGGATGTCGCGGCTTCGCACAGGGCTCCCCGCTTTCTGTCCGAGTCAACATCACTGGCCATTCGCTCCACAGCCTGTGGAGCGAACCATGACGCTCAGCGCAGCTATTAAACTGGGAGCGAATTTACGAACGCCGGGCCCCCAAGCCTCTGTGGACAAGGAAGCCAGGGAGAGGTTCACCTGCCCATTGACATGGGGAGACGCAGGAATGGCTTGGTTAAATCAGAGCTGTACGGCTGAATTTGCCAAGCGTTGCCATCTAGATCAGGCATCTCGGCCCTGTGATGAAGGCGGGGGGCGTTCAGATCAGCTGAGTCAAGTTCAAGGCTCTTGACACAAGTTCGCCTGGCATTGATGTTTTTCTTGCTACTGTTCATCTTCTACTTGCCGCCGCTGCTGCTGTTGCTGCTGCTCGTTGTGGCCCATGTTGTTGTTGCCAGTGCAGTCGTCTAACTGTATTGACTAACAGCAAGTGCGGACAGCTGGGCACCCGCTGAAATTTTGGACACTCCTGGAGGAGAAACCAATATACGTTGGCGCTGTGGCGCCTCATTTACTTTCTACGACCGAATCGGAGTAGGAAAGGCCTTGACTTCAGAGCTGCTCACGAGTTTCCAGCTGAATCCAGAGTTTAGAACCATGTTTAGGGGCTCGGTGGTCTGGTTGCAGGAATATGATGACCTTTACAGGCAGTTGATGTAACGACGGCCCCTTGGCTTTTGCAACACTGCCCCAGGTGACCCTAGCACAGGCAATCTCATAAGCTCTCCGAAGTCTTCCCCCACCAGGGACCCCTGACAGTTGCCGGCAGACACTGAAGCTCTTCGATTGGAGCTGGAAAACGTTAGCATACCACGGTTTTATTCCAACCTTGCCAATCTCAGGACACCAAGTTGCAAAGCGGCAAGCCAAAACTCTATACGAGTCCGTATTGCCGAGCCTGTTTCCGCTGTCGGACAGCACGATCCTGCCGTGATCAGTGCAGCAATTACGTGTCCTTCGGATCATCGTCCTTGCCCTTCGGAGATGGACAGCCCACCGAACCGCATGGCTTGGTCTCCCTCGCTGCGCCGCTGCGCCTCTACCGCTTGAGCTGCAGCACGGCGCCAGCCCTCCAGACCCGGCCGCTGCGGAGTCGTAGAACCTGACTTTTACGGGGCCCTGGATTTGTTCACCACTGCAAAGGCTACTGCTGGCTCTTATGTCTCACTTGCGGCGGAGGGACTGGGACGAAAGCTAGAAGCATCAACAACCGAGGCTTTTCCAGTGAAGGCAAGCATGCATACATCCAATTACAGAAACCCTAACTCTTGAACCCCTCGAATGAGCACCAATACCATCCCCCTCAATGTGGGTGACACCCACTGGGCCAAGCCATGCTCTGCTTGCGCTTCTTGTTCGTCGAGATGCAGCTGCTACTACATATGACTGTATAGTCGAGTACTAGTATAGTATGAAATGGTAGAAAAACAGTATATGGAAGAGGTTGGATCAGAGCTTCATGCACATGTATATATATATATATATATATATATATATATATCTATGTACATATACACAAACATACCATAACTTACTCCCCCAATAGCCACAGAAATAGAAGGTTAAACTTTCAGATTACTACTAAACTATAAGAACCCCAAAAGTTTAAAAGTTTTGTATTGGAGAACTAAGATAAATACATGTGTATATCATGCCTAGAAGCCAATGGCTTCAGGTCGGGCGCCCAACATAGAACAAGTACGCGACGCGTGAGCGGAGCTAGCAAGCCACATCGTGAACATCATTGGGGGCCTCTTGGATCCCAATCCGAGCCAACAAGCGCGGAAACAGTATAAAAACAGTATAAGGAAGAGGTTGGATCAGAGCTTCATGCACACGTATATTTATTTATTTATATATATATATATGTACATATACACAAACATACCATAAACACATGTGTATATCATGCCTAGAAGCCAATGTCTTCAGGTCGGGCGCCCAACATAGAACAAGTAGGCGACGCGTGAGCATCATGAGCTGCAAGCATCATAAGCATCGGAGCCAGCAAGCCAGCAGCAAAGTAAAGTGCTGCTGAGAGCTCTTCAAGAAACGGCGAACATTAGGATGCCCACGAGATACGGGTCGCTTCAGCTTCTGTTTAAAGAGGTTGGAGCAGAGCTGCATATGCACAAACATACCATAAATACATGTATATATCATGCCTAGAAGCCAATGGCCTCGGGTCGGGCGCCCCAGATAGAACAAGTACACGACATTACAAGCATCGTTGGGAATGTCGTGGGTCCCTATCGGAGCTAGCAAGCGCACATCGCGAACATCATTGGAAGCTTCTTGGAGCCCAATCCGAGCCAACAAGCCCGCATCACGAGCATCATTGGGAGCTTCTTGGGGCCAACAAACGCGCATCATTAGCATCATCGGGGAGCCGTTTTTCCACTCGGAAGCAGTGCGAAGCACCACATTCAAACACCTCAAAACGGACCCGGCGGGGGAAGGCCGAAAACCAGCACCAGGTGGGGGATAGCCCCAAATACGCGCAAAAAATGCCCACCTGGCCGGGGGCCCTTCCCCACACCCCTAGATGCAACCTTTCGGTTGGTAAGGAATTCAGCTAGCCACGGAAGCTAGCTTTCGTGATGTTCGTTCTGGCGCAACATTGACCCACCGAGCTCCAAATATTTAGTTTCGTAGCTAGCTCATCACAATTGTGCACCTCGTGGTTAGCTTGTGAAAGATTCGTCATTCTCTGGTCCAGCTGATCGGCAGCACGATACTTGCTGTAGACTTGGGGAATGTCGTAAACCTGCTGTCTAAATCACACTTTCAGGCCATGCATTGCCCCCCTCCAGGAGGCAAGCAAGTGGCGAGTTCGTGCCCATCGCTTGGATGCAGGCGCCAGCGTACCTTCGACCGACTGAGGGAGGCAAGCTTCAAATCTCTGCGAGAACAGTTACAAAAACCACGAACGAAAGGCAAGTTGCTGTAGGCTTCGTGAGGGTCCAGCTTGGGACCTCGCGAGGAGATGGAGGGAGCATCGGGTGGAGCTTGGGGCATCTTGGGGCACCTTTCGCCAAGCATTCCACATCTTGCAAGCATTTCCAAGCACGCACTTTAGATTACTTCCTTGCAAACTTGGTGAATGCTCAACCACAAAAGCTTGTGCACTCTGTACCATCATGCCTGACATGACATGACACTCTACCATGCTCAATCAAGCTCAGAGTGGGCCTTAATTAGTGTCCACCTTATACGTTTAACGTATAGTTTTAGCTTCGACTCACACTTCCGAACGACTTTCAGACAAGGTGAGCCTATCTACAAAGAACCCAGATGCCGACGCAAAGCAAATGGGTGTTTATGCTGTAGTGCGGCTGGTAGGTACGGCCGAATCGGTTGTCGGGGTATCCTTGGTTGCAGAGCTTCTGCTGCAAACGCGATGTGCCGCATCGGGGGCTTTGGGCTAGACTACAGTGCTGAAGGCTCGAGCAAGGTTGCCCAAGCTGAAGATCCGTTCGAACGGCTTCGGGCTTTCTATGCTGCCTGGTGGCGGGGGAATCAGGGGCCTCCCAGCGTAGAGATGCGGTCGATTCTCCTTCAGGGCCGTGTTCTGCACTCTCCGCAAGGGTGAGGTGAGGCTCAGGCCACCACCACCACCACCAACAGCAGCAACAGCAACAGCAACAGCAGCAGCAACAGCGACAGCAACAGGGCAGCAAACAAATTTTGGCCTTTGGCCAGTCGGCGAACCGTGGGCAGCTCTGCACTTTGACTGGTGCGCAGTGTCGTCACGCCTCAGCACGCAGTCGGCCCAGCTTCCCTTTCCGGGCTTGTCCCGTACATCGCTCGCAGAGGCCCAAGGTCGCGGCCTGTTTGAGGAAGTGGCTGCAGCCCTGCGTTCGACTTCAAGCGAGCCCTGGCCAAGAGCTGTCGCAGGCAACTATTAAGGAGTTCACTGCCACAGGGTGTGCCTGGCTTGCCTCACAGTCTATGCCAAACTATGAAGCCGACCTGCTACAATGTGCGAAATTACGTCTTTGGCCTGCGAGGCAGCGCATCCTTTCCGCTGGGTGGTAGAGGCCCTGCTTGGCGGTAATGAAAGGGCGATGCATGCTGTGCAGAGGAGATTCCCAAATGCTACGCATACATAACCAATAGGCAGCCAATAGGAACCCACACTGGGCAACGAGCGGTCTTTAACGGTCTGTATCGAGCAATTGTGATTTCAACATGTTCGATTTTTTCAAAGGGTATTTTGCATCGTGCAGTCAATCTGCCCTTGCACAAGTGCTTGTAGTGTGGCGTGGCGGAAGAGTCCTTGCATGGAAGCTGTGCCAGCACGGCCGTGTGGAGGTAAGCAAATTCTGACTTGTTGAATTCCCGTCCCGCATTTCGCGCTGCTTTCCGAGGATGACTTTCATTTCTACTAAAAAATGTGCGCTACATCCTTCCCAAATACAACGACGCGTCTCCCCAAAATTTGTCCTGTCTCTGCTGACAGATTATGGTCCCACAGCTGGCTACAAACATGCTATTGAGAAACGATCACGCTTGCTATAGTTTGTGGTTGTCGCTATGGTCAGTCCTAGCAACGACAGCGGCTGCTGCTGCTGCTGCTGCTGATGTCATTATCATTGTGTGGTTGTCGTCGTTTTGGTTGTGGCTGCGGTTGCCGCTGTGGGTGGTTGCGGTTGGTATTGGTGTCGCTGCAGCTGCTGGGCAAGCTGTGCCCTATTCTATGACCTGCGGCCCGAATGTATCCTAGCAATGCTGGTCCTGTTGTGTCCCGGGTCGGACAGCGGGTGCCTGGTGCCTTCCAGGCCTGAGGAAGCCATCCTCTTAGCTATACTCTTTTGGGGGCTACGCCTGTGCTGTGTCTGCGGGACAGATGTGTTTCTCAATCTTGATGCAGATTGGGACACCGTGTGTTCGGGTTCAAGAATTGAACCGTGCAACGTCTTCAGTCCTAACACGGCGCCCTTATCTTTGTACGGCTCGTGTCACCACTGTGTACAATCATTAAGTGGACGCGCTTGCTGTGTTATGGGTGCCGGGCTCAGGCTGCGGTCCTCCCTGCTTCACTGCTGTACCGGGTGCTCGGAGCGACGACCCAAATGCTTCGAGAACCACCTGGTGTGGGACACCACTCGACTGGAACTCTGGCAGACGGCTCTTCTGAGCGCCACCCAGCGGCTACCGATTCGTGAATATTGGACGCCATAACTCACGCTGAGGTTGTCGAGGCAGTCTCACCTTGATCGGTGGTGCCGACGGCCGCATAAAGCCACGGCATTACTGAAAGTCTCCAGTCTTTGAGACTGGAAACCACCATTTTTCTGATCTGTTGAAGGCAGCTGCCGGCGCAGAAAATTGCAAGGCATCGATCATCGCTAGTGCAAGAATCTTGGGCACCGCCCATGCAGAGCTGTGAGCCGGGGCATTTCTGTAAAGGCTTCGAAGACCGCACTGTAAGAAGTGCCACAGCATTGCATAACATTACGGTAAATCGACTGAAACAAGCCTCTTTCCTGTCTTTATCTCATATGGCCTCCACGGCAATCCATTTTCCTTCGAAGGCTTCGGCAAGTCTGATGAGTATGATACCGACGGGGACGCTGGTGCACCGCACGTTCCGAGGTTGACTCACTTGCCCGCAAGGAGCAGAGCCGGCACGCTCAGTGTTCAATTAAAAAATTGCTGTTCTTGTTGTCGTTGTCGTCCTGTGCAGGTTGTCGTCAGACGAGCCGATTTGATGTCAGATCGAGCACGTGCTGATTCGTCTCTCGCTGTTTCACACAGACCTCAAGTAAACGACTTGGTGGATGGGGTCTTAAAGCAGGCGGACAAATTTTATGGCGACCCGAAAGGACGAGAAACGTCTCGAATGTGATAGAAATAATGTCAACCTCATATTTAGAATCCCCCGCGTAATTGCAAAATCCAATTCCCAGAACGTAATTAGAAACCCCCCCCGTATTTGCAGAATCCAAGCGGCCTAGCCCTAGCGGAAAAATTCAAAAACTTTAAGCAGAATCTACAGGAGCTGAAAAGGCTTTGGGGCTGTTGGGGGTTCTGCTCAGCAAATTCGCGAACACTGCAGAAGCACTATGACACTGATGAATGGCTCTCATGCTGGACCCGGACTCTTATTACGGAGGCTGAGGCTCCCATCCTTGCGGGGGTGGGGGCGGGGCCCCCCTTTCGTAATATGAAGTGAACATTAAGGACTCAGAGTCGTAGTTCTGGAACGTGCGCCCCAGGACAACCAAAGGAGCTCTCATGAGTGGAAGCCGCTGCCTTCTTAACTTGCATCAATCTACAGGTCTTACTGTAAGTATGACTTGAACCCAAAGCCTATAAAGCTGAAACCGCAGCTGTCGCTGAAGCAACTCTCGAACCAGTAAATTGCAAATTTCTCGAGGAAAATGCTCCAACCGCAGTCGCTTGAAGCCTTGGGGGCCAAGTCGTGGAGCAGGGATGCCCCCGTGGCCGTGGCTGGGCGAGTGCATCGCTGAGTCCAGCGCCAACCGGGGCACGGCACATGAAGGCAAGCTGGGCGGAGGAGATTAATGCAAAATGACTCACGGCATGCAGCATGTAGCTAATGCCTCCCAGTTTCATGACCTCACACGAATTCACCACGTTCATGGGATGGTGAGACTTGAACCAAAATGCAGGTCAGCCGGTGGTGCGGGAAGATCCTCGAAAGGCATGGCAAGACACCATGGATGCATGCATGCCACTGAATGATGCACAAGCGCGAACATCGCTTAAGCTGGCATGTGCTCTTGCACCCAGAGCCTGCGGCTGCACCCTGAGAAGTGAAAGCAGATGCCTTGGCAGAAAAGTCGATGGAGTCTATGAAGCGAGGCTTGGTTTTGAAACCCTGGCCGCATCGCTGCCACGCTCAACCTCTGTTGAGAACCATTGTGAAGAATGGATCCGGAGCACAAAGCAGCTGTGGCGTGTGTGTGCGCATTCCGGCGGAGGCGAAGCAGTTTATCTCCACTTCTGCAAAAGCCTGGCAGATGTTACAGCATCAGCTCCACGCTTTTCGGGCTCCCTCCAATGGCGCGCAGACTCAACTGGCACTCCGTTGTGAAACCTGCTGGAATCTGCAACTTGGATGTACCTGCAACGCCTGCCTGACCACAAGAGGGGGAAGCTAAGGACGATGCTTGCAGCTAGGCTTTGATGTTGAAGCCGGTGCGGAGGATTTCCGGTCCGTTCTCTGAACATCCATCTGTGAGACTCCCTTCGGGCGTGGCTGCTGCGCGGCTGTGCCAGCTGCCCCGCTGAGTTTCTCGACGCGCTTCTGCTTGCGACAATGCTCGGCCGGACTTTGAGGAAAGTAAACTTCTCAGAGACTTAGAGAGCAGATCGGCAATGTGGGCACGTAGATTTCTTCGCTGTGTCTGCTCTCCCTCCGAACTCCAGAAAGTTCCGATCCCAGCAGCAATTTCAGTAGCATCGCTGGCCTCTCACTCATTTCAGAGCAGCACTAGCAGCGGAAGTGGCAGAAACCTTAGTGACTTGCACAGAAGTCTGCACAGACCAGACGGCGATTCAGCCATGCCCTCATTCCCATCTGCCGACCCTCTAAGTCAAATGGGGCGAGGGGCAAGCCATGTTGCGCTAGGGAACATACATCGATGCACGGCTGAAGCTCCCCAGCGCAATATAAGGCTATTGGGCCATAGGGCATGCGAATCCCTCCTGTCTTTGGGCTGTCACTATTGCCAGGGGATGCCACCGAGAGCAGGTTTGGGTGGCTTGCTTCCTGCAGCTCTCAGAACTTGTCGGAACTGTGCTCGGTGGACTTTGCGGAAATTTCCGGTCTCCGCATTGAACTGAAGTTGTAACTCGTGGCCCGAGTAGAACCTTCGGGAACTGTCCGAACGCTCCAACTTCTGACCAACTGGGAAAGCCCACCACCCCCAAACCCCCAATAGCAAGGAGGCGTTAGAAGAAGTCGAATTTTGCGTGCGATCTTCTCGTCTCTGTGTGCTGATTCTGGCTTTGCGCGGCCTTTGCCTGCCACAGCAAGTTGTCACAGTTGTCATTGTTGCTGCAGGTTGTGGCTTACTCTTCCTGAAGCCTTGTTGGCTACTGGAACATGGAAACTCCGGCTCTCCGGGCCTCGCATCTCTGAGGCTCCAATCTCCGGAGATCCCTCCTTGGTCCGGCGGTTGTTGCATGCTATTACGCTGGTAATCAGCCGACAGACAAAGGCAGCTCCATGAGACAGTGCGATGTGGAGATGCTACCATCCCGGGAGCGGAGCTGGATGATTCGATATGTTGCAATCTTGGCCGAGCTTCTGCAGGTTGTCGATCTGCTTCGTCAAAACGAAGAACTGTGGAGTATTCCACTCGTCTAGCATCTGAAGCTTGAAGCCACCTGACCAACGTGGCAGGAACCGTCTGGGACCTTCTTTTTCGATCGCATCCATCGCACGGCCTCCCCCTCCTCCTCCGAGGAGACCGCCGCCCTCGGCTTCTTGCTTGTTCACTTGCTTGGCCTCAGGCATCCGCAGTAAGAGGCTGCGGCACGCTCCAGCTTCCTACACCGTACTTATCCTACTTTGCTGTCGCAGTTTGGCACGATAGTCACAGCCAGTGGGCCAACGCTTACCATGCTAGTCGCTGCTAGTCAGCTAGTCCAGCAAACGAAAGGCAGCTTTGGTCTGCCTCCGGCTAGAAATCTTATGCTTTCTCCGTCGCTGGCGCTGAGCCCATCACCACCACGTTGCCTGCAGCGGCGCCTGCGGCACCTCAAAGCATTCGATGTGCCGCTGCGAATTTGTACTACCTTCGCATGCACGGCTTGATCTGGACCTGTTTCTTAAATTCGTGTGGCGTCTCAGCAAGGTGTGTTTACGGAATGTGAATGGAGTTCCGGCTTGACCTCGACCCGGAATCAGGTCGTCACTTGCAAAACCTTGATGGGGCTTTCGGCTGTATGCTGGCCTCCAAGCAAGCCTGCCATCTTGCAGTTCATATTGCACAACTCTTTCTCGATGGTATCCACCTTGCTCCAGTCTCGCAAATGAAAAGACGGCTATGAGTGGTGAGAGTTCGCTTAATCTCAACGTTTGCGACACCTCGGCTTTCTAGTAGCCTCTGATACAATGGGCAACAGGAAGTCGCCGTCCTACCCGCTATGACTAATACAAGGCTGCAGATTTGTTGTGGGAATTTGTTTTTTTTGCATCGGTGGGTAGTTATTCTTTCTTTTGGCGGGGCCAGGGACGGGAGGGAAGGAGGGAGAGGCATACGTAGTGGTCTATGCGTTCTTTATTGTGCATAGCCACATACATATACAGATTAATGTAAATACATAGATGCATATATGTGTATATGTGTATTTATTTATTGCTTGTTGATCTAAACTGCTTCATCCCGAACTGGCGTTCTTCGCGAAAAAATAACTATCGCAATATCATCGCGGAACTTTCGCGGAGTCATATCTACATACCTCTGCAAGTTAGAACCCTGAGTTATAAGCTACAAGCTTCTCGATGGCAAGAGTCTACGCGCATTATACTTAAGAGCTTGTGGCAAGCTTCTTAGGGGTTGCAGGGCTCCGTGAAATCTACAATAGCCGGAAAGCGCTGGTTAAGGCCTTCTTAAGGGCTGGATTTTTGATGAAGCCGTCTTAGGGCCTTAGGGTTGAGATTCTTGACAAAGCTTCCTGAAAGTTTCTCGATTGCAAAACTTTTGGGGGCAAAATTGATTGTGAGTTCGGGTAGCCTTCCTAAGAGGTGCCCCTTGCGCTAGCCAATCGCGACATGCACGAACAACGTCCTTTGGGGGGTGGCCTTAACCTGGCTGCGTCGACTTTAACGCTACTTACACGGAATTTCCGCACTAAACCCTGTGCGGGAACCTAATTGTTGGGCTTGTCCTTGCTTTCACTTAGGATCGACGGCGCTACACAGGAGCAGGAGGTGGTAGCCGTCGGCGGTGGGTCGTATAGGGTTGTGGGTAGTAGGTATGGGTAGTAGTAGTAGTAGTAGTAGTAGCAGTAGTAGTAGTAGTAGTAGTAGTATTAGTATTAGTATTAGTAGTAGTAGTAAGTGGTGACGACGATATTAACAGTAGCAGTAGTAGCAGTAGCAGCAGTAGCAGCAGGAGCAGTAGCAGCAGCAGTGGAAGCAGTAGTCGGAGCAGCTGCAGCAGGAGTAGTAACAGCAGTAAGTAGCAGTTGCAGTAGGAAGAGCATGAGAAGTGGTGCTGGTGGTGGTGGTGGTGGTGGTAGTGGTGGCAGTAGTAGTAATAGTAGTAGTAGTAGCAGTAGTAGTAGTAGTAGTAGTAGTAGTAGTAGTAATAAGAATGATCGTGGTAGTGAAGTAGCAACAACAGCAACAGCAACAATAATGGCATTAATCATAGTAACCAGAATAGTCAATATGAAGAAAAAGAATAGTAATCCTTCAGAAAGCAAAGTGATCCTAGTAATATAACCGTCATCATCGTAACAATGATACAGGACAATATGAACAATAGCAATAGCAATAACAGCAGTAATAGTCATAGTCATAGCACTAGTACCAGTAATAGTAACAGTAATGGTTATAGTACGGCAAGCGGGCTAAACAGAGAACTGTCGCAAAAAATAAGTAACTTTTGTGGCACCATCGCGGAACTTTCGCGAAGGCATAATTGGCTATGCAGTTGGCCTTTCACATAAGTTATGGCTTAAGGAGCTTTCGATCAACTACCATATATGCAATGTCAATAAGAGTACTCAGAGTAATATTAATGATCGTCCTAGGAGCAATACTAGGAATAATGATGATGCTTCCTTCCTTCTTTTTCTTCCTTCCTTCCTTCGAGAGCAAAGACCCCCCCCTTAGAAACAACAACAAACAAAACAAACAACTACCAACAGATGCAAAACAACAAATTCCAACAAAAAAATGCACTCCATGTTACAACCACTGTGAGGCTGCCATGGTTGTTGCTTTTGCAAAAGGAAAGTTTTGCGGTTTCATACAGCTGACGCGATGCGATTGCTTCCTGAGCTTGTTGTGACTTCAGCGAGTTTGGCTCGTCTCAGGTCTATGCTGCACTAGATTCAAGACTCCCGCAGCTGGCCCAGTATCAATTAAGCATGACAGAAAGCAACACTCCCAAACGTACAACTTGGGTCCTTGAGACTGCTGCGCAGGTCCTGGGATAAACTAAAGGGTAATAGCCCCATGCGCCCCGTTTTGATTGCTCCTGGTGCCCACAAGCCTGCTTCTCCATTTTCTTCATACTGTCTTCCTCTTCTTCCTCCTCCAGTGCATCTTTCCTCGGTGTACATCTGAACACTATTGCCTGTGTTAGGCGTCGCAGTGGCTGTGCTTGCATCTACAGTCGCAGCATGATCTCCCGTCCAGAAAAGTAAGGGCCTGATCCACATCCATGCATCATTAGCCAAGCTGCTCATCCTTCTTCATGAGCATGCCTCGGCTGTGAGCCACCTTCAACTGAACTTTGAAGCCTTGCTGCCTTGCTCAATCAATGCACGTGCTGCACCTCTGCAAGAGATAATTCTCTGCGCGCACACACAGCTCTCACGCAGGGCTGCTGAAAGGATTCATGGCTCCGATCATGCCGGAGAGTGCACCTTTGACACCTCCCGGGCACTTGGAAGTACCTGAGCAGGGCGTGACGGGAGCGAGTGTCGGGACTTGAAGCAGGTTTCACATTCGCACCATAACACTGAGGCTTGCCAACTCTCGCAAGCTCCAAGCAACTGAACTTCTCCAGCGGAGGCGCAAAGGAGAAAGGCCAGGCCACCACCGGCAGCGGCCCCTCCAGCCATGGCCACGCCTGAGAGGTCTTCCCCATGGCCATGAGATTGCAAGGGCATTCAGTATGCAATCTTCTGACTCCTATGCCCTGAAAAACCCAAGCACCACAAACAGCACAAAGCAACACAAAGCAACGGCACTCATCTGAGTCGACGGAACAGGGAGCATGGGCGCATATTGGTTGCTGCAAAGGTGCCGGTAGACACCATCAGGGATGTTGGCTCTTCGGCCTGGCCGGAACCGTTTTAGGCCCGGAAAAGAACGGGGCTGATTCCGGGCCTGCGTGGAGATACCTCCGTCTGGACCGACAACTGTCCTAAGTTTGGAGATTTGGAGATGGGAGATGTCAGACTTCAGCTCAGATGTCGAAGACTCCAAGGCACGCAGCAAAGTGCTGTAGGGGTTTGGCAGGATTCAACGAGGCTCCATGGACACTTGGTTGCAGCATCACGTGCAACGACAAAGATGCGTGCCGTAATCCACAAAACAACGCAAACACCTTGTGTGTATGTGTGTGTGCCGAAAAACAGGGGCCGCACAGCGTTCCTTTCTGAAAGAGAAACCTGCCAAAATCATAGACCAAGTTGCTTCAGCACCGGCAGGGTTGCCATGCTGCTTCCGGCAACGAGGCTCGCGCCTTTGGGGTTGAAGCATGTGCTTGAAGTTTTTGGGTAAGTATAAACCGGGGACGGAGAGGTTGCGACCCTGAAATCTGCCAATGAACTTGGATACTCACTTGAGCAGCGATGGCGTTAGGGCTGAGAGTTGGTGGCTTGATCCGTCCAACTCAAGCTTCGAGTCCTTCGGGACACGAACCAGCAGCCACCTTGCCTTGAATCCCAAGATGGTGAGTGAGGCCTCTACCCATGCGCCCATCACTCTCCAAAGTCAACAACTTTCAACTTTGACATTGCAAACAAGACCAAAGTCTCCGCATGTTGACCAGCCCAGGCCCAACCTCTTTCGGGAGGCCACCGCCCGAAGACACTACATGAAGTCCAGTCTTGAGCCGACTGCGGGGTCGAAAGAAGGCAGTGCATTCAAGGGCGGTATACTTGAGGGTGCGGAATGTGGACACAACAGAGCCTTGTGAGATTGTTCGGCAAGCCCGGCATTTCGCAGAGAACTACCCACAACGAAAGCAATACATTGAGCTGTCTTGGACTTGGACCAGCTGGTGTAGAACTCATCCCATCGCAAGATTCGCAGAAGCTCGAGCACGAACACAAATAGAGAGCACATAGGTAACTTACATGGCACGGGTTGTCAAAGAAAGAACTAGCGTACGGACAACGAAGTGCTCGATTGGCTGTGCACATATGTATGTCTACACACAAGTACCAACACACTTACAGTGTGTATTAATGTACGAGTATTACATATATACGTACGTACGCACTTATGCCTGTGTGCATGCATGCATGTGCGTATGTACGTAATTATGCATGTGGGTACGTGTGCATGTATGTATGTATGTATGCATGCATGCAAGCCAAGTTTGCATGTTGAGATGCATATCCTTATGTTCGCATTGGCATGTGTGTGCATCAAGCGCCCCAGGCACCAAGCAAAGTCAGTCTCTCTCTTTCTCTCTCTGGTTCTTTCTGCCCCTTTCAAGCCCAAAAGCATATGCTACGGACACACGCACGCATACCTGAGTGCACATATATACATATATGGTACCCCCCTCGCATTATCTACCTCCAAACCTGTCTGTCAGTACACATGCGCACACATGCACTCACACGCACACATGCAACATGGATTAGTGTATACGAACATGGCTACATAATCCGAAAGAGACTGCATATACAGTATCATGCCCAGCAGAATTCACTAGAGGCCCGGCTGCATTAAAACCAGCATTAAAAATTAATAGTTAATGCAACCAAGCCCGTGGAACCAAGATCCAAGATTCAAGAGTCCAGGGTATCCTGGCTTTTGGTTCTTGGTTCCACGGGTCGGGTTGCCTTAAATTTTAACTTTTTAATGCTGGTTTTAATGCAGACAGGCCGGTGGAAACCATGTAACTGTTTACGGTTATCATCTTCGGTATCGAATGAGGGAACGGATTGCTGTGCATGCAGGATTGGTTGTGTGACAATAATATGTCTAAGACCCCATGCTGCAGCTGATCAAAAGCAAGTGCTCCCGTACTCCTAACTCCCCCCTGTGCTTGTGATCATGTCGGCGCGCCCCTCCCTGGTAAACATTCAGGGCACCATTAATTTTATACAGCGTGTCTATATGCACCTTATACAATATCTTATAGGATACTTCGTAGACTCGCCTATAGTGCCCTATAGAATACGTTACAGATAGGCTTGAACATATGGAACATCAGTCGGAACCGAAGATTTGCGAATGTCCAGCTGAGTTGTAGTTTATTGAGTAACGGGTTCCCATGGTGGAAATCAGGAACCTACTTGTAAAAGACTATCCTTTAAAGTCCACTATAGAATACCCCCGTATCTTTTCCAGGATTTCATAGAAAATACTCAGGTCGTACCATATAGAGTTTATGAAGTATATACGTTTTATTCTACCTTACGGACTACTTTGTAGCTTATAAAACACCTTATAGAGATTTGTCAAATATATGTATATATATATATATATATATAGATATCAGTTACTACGATCGCAGACGTTCGGTGCCCTCACTGAACAGACTATCGGCGATCGCACCTTTTTCATGCGACCGCAACGTGGGAGTCGGCCACAGTCGGATCATCAAAATTTCACTTGATCTTCACAAGTCCGATCGGACCCCCGATCGCCGAGGGGTGCGCCATGGCATTCGCCACAGACCGCAACATCATCCGATCGGACACATCAGACAAGCGATATTCCCCGCGAACAAAATTAAAAGTCTTCGATCGGATCATCGGGCTCCGGCGACGGCTCCTCGATTGGATCATCGTCGAGGTGGGCCGCGCCGAGCAAGTCAATCAACTGCCGCTCGGCGGCACGAAAAGCTGCGTCAGGAGCAGCTTTGGCTCGCGTCCGAGCGGGAGTAGCGCGAGAAGCCTGGTACGCCGCGATCTGGGCGGGAGTCGGGGGCGCCTTGGTCGGCGGACTCGAGCTCCTCGTAGACACCATGATCTCGGTGCCGGGAGGGAGCTGCGTACCGGGCGGGAGCTGATCTAGCCGCCGCGGGGGCTGCCCCGGAATGACATAGTGAGCCGGTCCGCTGATGCGGACATCATCGGGCACCGTGTCGAGCGATCTGGGGGGCTGCCCTGGAACTATGTACTGAGCAGGCTCGGCGAACAAAGGAGAACGCCCTTTCGGAGCCGCTCGGCCTTGGCGCGGCAGACCAGCCTTGGGATCCACATAGTAGACCGGCTGATCCATGCCTCTGTTTCGATGAGCTCTGGCCGGGGGCGCTTTGGGCACCGGCCGCTGAACAGAGGGCACGCCCATCACTTGATCCCAGTTGAGGGGAGGATCTGCCCCGTGATCGTAGCCGGCCGGCTGGTGACGATCGCGATCACGATGAGCCGGCGGCGTGACCCAGGGGGTCTTTCGGTAGAAATGACACATATCCAGGCGACGATCGCAAGCCGTGCACAAAGGAGTGCGCTGGTTGGGGGCCCACTCTTCGCGGGAGACCCGAACGGCTGCGTAACATTCGTCTTGGCCGTCCCCGTCGCAGAAGCAGCCGGTGAACAGGCCGCAATCCACGCAGGGACGGCAGAGCTGATCTGTGTCGCCGAAAGCGAGCGCTTGAAGGCCAACGTCGTTGCGAGGATCCCGCATACCGAAAAGAACAGATAGGGTGGAGAGGGTGGGATTTTTCGGTATGGCCCGATCGGCTATCGCCAAAATGGCCACGGAGAAGATAGATCAAGTCTGTTCCAACGATCGCGAAACTGATCTCCTAATTCCTACCCACCAGACCGATAATTAGGAGACCAGTTACTACGATCGCAGACGTTCGGTGCCCTCACTGAACAGACTATCGGCGATCGCACCTTTTTCATGCGACCGCAACGTGGGAGTCGGCCACAGTCGGATCATCAAAATTTCACTTGATCTTCACAAGTCCGATCGGACCCCCGATCGCCGAGGGGTGCGCCATGGCATTCGCCACAGACCGCAACATCATCCGATCGGACACATCAGACAAGCGATATTCCCAGGCCCTCAAACTCCTTTCGGAAAGTCCGAGAGGACAGTGATCCAACCACACATCAGACCTGTAGCGACATCACCACGAGAGGGATTATCCGCCGGGTTCGAATCGGTCGGTACCCGATCGATATAAACAGAGCACCTAAGCTCCAGAACAAGCTCCCAGAAAATTCCTACGAGCTCGCAGACGTCCTCTTTTGCAGAGTAGCCTTTGATCAAAGCTGCCTCTACAGGCTCGGAATCGATAAAGAGGAGGACCAGCTTTCCACGGATCTCTTCCCTGAAAGTCTGTATCGCAGCGACCGCGGCCAAAAGTTCGATCATGCAAATTTGGGTTTTCCGGGGGAACCACCTCGACATGATCTGCCGTGACACCCCCGAGGCGAATTGCCTAGGCTGATCGTCCCTAGTGAACATCACTCCTCCAATCATCTCAGAAGAGGGATCCTTGGGGTTCGAGCTCGGCGCCGATCCATCCGTGAAAATCACCACGTCGGACTTCCGCGGCCCCGAACTGGGGATAGGCCTCGGAGGCCCATGCATCACGAGCGTCCGCCACTTGTAGAGGGAGTAGAGGAGAGCAGGCGATAGGCTCGTACTGACCGTCTTCCGGGAGTATTGCCTCTCCGACAGAGATCTCAGGAAGGCTCGGCCGATCTTCCCCCAGAGCTGCGAAGCGCCGAACATCAGCTTTCCTCTGAGCTTCCCGGCTTGGCCGGGAGACATCTCTTCGTGTTCCAGGATCGACGAGATCTCGTCGAAGAGCTCCTGCTTCCTGGACTTCTTGATCTTGAGCAAGTACTGATCGAGGTCATAGGTCACGCCCAGGATCGTGGGATCCGAGCAGAGCTGGAGCTTCTGCTGATCGAACCGGGCCTTGAGCCACCAATGGACCTTCTCGGCCAGCGCGAACGCACTATCTGCCGTGGCCTCCGGCTCGAAGCCGTACTTGTCGTCATAGAAGTTGAAGCCGGCCACGATGAACACGCGCCTTAGAATGTCGGTAATCGCAGCCGAGCGGCGGTTGTAGTTATAGACGGCCGAGACCAAGCCGAAGGAGTGGCCGACCATC